GCCTCATTTCGAGGCCATCTCGAGATTGTTAAGCTGCTCTTGGACAAGGGAGCGGACGTCAACGCGCAGGGCGGCCTGTACGGCACCACTCTCCATGCCGCCTCATCAGGAGGCCATCTCGAGATTGTGCAGCTGCTCTTGGACAAGGGAGCGGACGTCAACGCGCAGGGCGGCCTGTACGGCACCACTCTCCATGCCGCCTCATCAGGAGGCCATCTCGAGATTGTCCAACTGCTCCAAGGAAGGGGCGCTATTACATCGTCTTCAAAGTGGTCCGGCTCTAGGTCTCCAATGAACCTGACGAAGAAACTTCGTGTCGTGTCTCCCGAACCTTCTAATCACACTCAATAATTCGTCCAGTAGCCTCCACCATGGTGTCCATCTATCGCCTAGCTTCAGGCCTCATCACTCTTTTCGTTTAGTACCCAAGCTGACTATAGCTGACAAGATGGGCATAAGTTCCAGGGTAAAGTGTCCAGAGTCTGTGACGACGATCCGGGGCTGATCCGAACACACATGCCATCCTGCGATCCTCACAGGCTCGAGGGGCCACTTTACGGTCAACTTGCACACGGCGGGTGGGATGGACGGTACTACGGCGCTGCCACTGGCCGCAGCGAACGGGCACAAGGCCGTGGCCAAACTGCTGCAGCCCAAATCTTTACTCACTGTCTCTCTTTAGTATAGTATCCTTGACTACAAGGCACCTTGTGTCTGACTATCTAGGTTTGGACTTCCCAGTCATGGTTCAGCAGGAACCGTAAATCCTGTAAGTTGTAATATCTTTGCCAGAGGTTGGTCGAAGGGGTCTAGGTTCCTTTATAACTATGATTGATTGGCGTCACGTGCCGTATATCCTGATGTGGAAAGTCATCGCGTAGTTTTTGTGTCGGAAGTACGGGTGCGATCTCGCAACACGATTGATTGGATAGCTGAACAACAGTCGAGTAGAGCGAAAGGCTCCTGGCCACATCACAGTCAGCGGCGCACCTCATCATTGCCGGCCAATTTTTTTTTTAAACACAACTAATTATTATTGTGGTGGGTTTGGTTAGCGATAGCGGCCATCAAGCGATTCCAGATGATTCAAGTCGTTTTCCCACTAGATGCTCTAAGTTGAAAGTAAAGTATACATCGTAAGGCTTTTCTCCATTCCCTCACTTCCCAAGTCCCCTGTTGGGTAGTTGAAGCACCCAACCCACATAGCCTAACGTCTCTATGAGGTTGGGGCTCAACAGTTCCTCACCGACCCAAGAGCCCTTGCCTGCTGGGCGGGCGTAGAAATGCAAGAGACATTGTCCCTTACCCCGTTTACTTTCTCACGTGTTCAGCACGTCGACTCCCTCATCAAATCCGGCATAAGCCGACTCAAATCCGCGTAACATTTTCTTGTCCAGAATGTTCCTTCGCGGCTTCCTCCCAACGGGTGCTGCCGTCAAGGTCCCATCTTGGGAAGAATATGTTCTTACGATTCGCTCTTCTTCGTGTCTACGCGGCCGAGCTTTCTCTCCTCCCTCTCCTACGCGGTATGACCAAAGTTTCTGGTCACCAAGTTTTTCGCCTCTTCAATCGCCTGCTCTCCACGCAATTGGCTGCAAGGCAAGAAGGTGGGTACCCAAAACACTTCAACTTCAATGGATCCATTTGATAGTCGACGTGCTTCTCCCAGGTGCCTGTATTCGTATTCATGAGCACTGCTAGCCAGCGCAGCTTTCATACGCGAAGCCCTACTTGAAGTGGCCTTCGTCTGCAGCTGGGTCTTGCGCTTCGAGATTCCTCGTTGCTGCTCACAGGCAATGTTCCTAGTGAGGCGCGAAATACCAATCTGACGTGTTTCGGGTTGATCAGAACAAGAAAATTCGTCATCTACAAATCGGTTGTAAGTTAGGCAAGATACTTCAGCTTGGACAGATTCGTACCTTCTGATGAGCCCTCGCGTTCACGTGGTGCCTCCTGTCCATTGACAAGCTTTTCATACTCAGAAAAGAGAGCATGAAGACGGTCAGTGTCCAAAGGCGTAGATATGGGGGTTACCTCGGGTTCCTCCTGCCCGGCCATCGGCTGCATAGCGCAGGAAGTCGAAACGCCCAAGTCATTGTTGAACTTTTCATGAACATCGTTCTCAGGAGAGGGATTTGGGTCTATGTCAGGCTATGCTTGTGGGTGATTGGTTGGAATACGCGCTGAAGCGATTTCTGCCTGGAAGGGCAATAGTACCAACAGAATGGCTAGCACAGCCTTGGAACCAACGTTGCCAGCCTTCTCGCATGCTGGTGCAGGAGAAAACTCAATGCCAACCACGTCCTCTGCACGTTGACGGAAATGCAAGTTGGACCTGACCGGCCCGTGGCTCGCGGACGCTTTGGCCACAGGACATCGCTCCCATTGAAGTGAGCGAAGGACGTGTTATATTCGGATCTACTTAAAATATATATCCCTTATCGCTCTGATGCGCTACATCCACGTGTTGCCTGCCCGATCTTGACGACATGTAGCTGATCAATGCCTCGTCAAGGATCAGCGGGGGTGGCATGATGTGCGGCCCACTGGTGGCGGCATGGAAGTCAGCCATTGGCGCGCCAAACTGAACAAGTCTTAACCCTGTAGGGAGTCAGGGGAAAGTGCTCTGAGGTGTGGTTGTAACCAGCAGTTGGGCTGTGCTCCGCCGGTCACGGCACCATCCGTTTTCCAACGCATTGACGTAAAGTACGGTGGCAAACCGTAATCCTCCCACACCAGCTCTCGGTTCTCTGTCCTCCAAAAACGGACACCACATCCTCCAAAAATGGAGGCACACTCCTCCATATCTGGAGGCATTGAAACTCCGGAGAAGAGCTTGACGGGATCGTGATTGCTGCTAGCGGCTGTGGTCGTATGTACAAGAGTCAGCAATATTTTAAATTATATTGACTCTTTGTACGACAATACCCTTTCCCACAACTACCGTCTCTTCTAGCTGAACTCTCTGATTTATATTATCTAAAGCCTTCAAATAGCTTGCACAGTTCCGGTTCAAACTTGCGAAGCGCATCTTTAGTAGTCGACTGAAATTCGAGAATAGCTGCGGTTTATGAGGTCAGAAAGTCCAGGAATAGGTTCTGGTAGTCCAACACGAATCTAGCAGGCAGCGCTGATCCCGTCGCCGCTGTCAGCTGGTTACGTCTGGTGCTAATACCGGAGTCAACATTGAATGAGTCGACTCTGAAGGCCTGAAGCACCGGACATCTTCTGCGGACGATAACCCCAACGACTTGGCCACGGCCTTTTGAACCAGGCCGAGAATGATGGAGGTTCAACTGGAGGTTCAACTCCGGGTGCTCTTTGCGGGCGATTCTCATCCGGCCCCACAAGGACGCAGCTCCGAGCCTTGTAGGCCGATCGGCGGCTACCTACGGCCTTCCCGGCGACCCACACAATCGTCATTAAGCAACCCGTGAGCCAGCGCCGTGGCGTTCCTCAAGCATCGTCCACGACAAAGCTTGTCACATATTGACTACGATTTCGTTATGAATATCCTCTACCATGCGACACTAGTGGCTGACGATGACTGGAGGGCGAAACAAATCACCACGTCCTTGACCAAGTTGGGTTGTGCTTGATGGAGCGCGGCCGGGCGTGGAAAAGGACCCCAACAATATACACCATGTTTGAATACGCTGCCGAATATAGGCTCAAGTCATATATCTCGGAGATTCTTGATGACTTGGATTCTGAGACAGCAAAGTTTGAGCGGTTTACGCCAACCATGAAGTCGTTCTACACTGACTTGCTGCGGCGGTGTCTTCAGACAGAACGAACCTCGACTGCACATGAGCGACCTTGGCTAAGCATATCCGAGACCGTCGCCTACCTCGTCGACAAGGGTGCTGATCCCAAAAATCAGCGGATAGGGAGAGAGCATGTGGCAGATACTACATGGATGCTTTTCTGCATGACTTCGAGGACCGCCTCCGTCATGGCGACCAAGTCATCTTTGGTATGTGCTGTGCACTAGTCTCCGCTGGAGATCCTCTTGATACGCCTTTCGGTAACTCAGACTTCCTAAGGGAAGCCAAGCGCTCGTTTCGCAAGGCCAAATTACGGAGCGGTTAAATGCCGATAGTAGGACCCGGAGTAGATATGATGGCCCTTTCTGCGACGCTCTCGATATTTGCAAGCCGTTGATAGATGACGAACGAAGACTAATTGTCGCAACCACATCCTCTTCAGCGAGCTAGCGAGCATTTCGCTCCAATGTACTTGTTTTTTTCTTCTTCACTCTTTATGGCTGCGTTAAAACGACAACGCTCTGAATGCGTTGCAACCCCCAAGAGTAGTTGAAGATGCTATGGCTCTCACGAATGATGTTGGTCACTCGTATCTCTGGGTAGATGCCCTTTGCATCGAGCAAGACGACGATCCTCAACAAAAGCAACAGCAGCTTCGAATCATGGACAAAATACATCAAGGAGCCTGCGACACCCTTGTTGCTTGGACAACTACGAGCTGTACCAGTCCCTTGCTTGGTGTTGGAAACACCATCTACGGCCCCACGGCATCATTCGAGTGGTTGACCTGCGAGCGGCAAGGGAACACGGGCCGGTAGTATTGGAGAATAGGCTCTCCGAAGATGTCGAGTATTCGCAACAATACATCAGGATTTGTTGCTATAATACTCGAGCTTGGACTTTGCAAGGGCGACTGCTTTTAAAGCAATGCCTTTTCTTTCACCATTGAGAATTGCTGAGCCTGATGGGACTAAGCACTTGAGTCCACTTCTTATAGGTGTCAACTCTCTAGGAGGTGTCGACGGCCGTGCGATTCAGGTCATGAATCTGAAGCAAGAGGCAACACATTGCCAACGACAACGGTTCCACGCGAGAACACTTGTGAGGTTTCAGAAGACAGCCCTTTATTTCCCGGGACCATGTCTGTTTTTAATCACCATCCAAAGCACGGGCCCACTAGATGTCTTGTACAGCCGCCCGCTTCGTCCAGACTGGCCTCGTGAATCCATGCCAAGCCAAACCGCATCTCGAATAAATGCCAAAGTTGTCTTTGTAGGGCCATTTAGGTAGCCATTCCCCACTAGGGGAACTTCAAGGAGGAACTCACCGATGCAGCCTGGCGGCAGCAGCCGATCCAGGTGAGCACCCCGACGCCTTTGCGCATGCCGACAACCTCCTCGGGGCTCGATGCTGTGTGTTTTGGTTGAACCCAAAAAGACTGGTCCACTATTCCAGGCAAGTAACAAAGTTTCCATGTGACAATATGATTCCTTTTGGTGTGCCGGTGCTGCCAGATGTAAATACATAATACATGGCTGCGGAAGCGGATAATAACTGGCTCTGCATCGGCATCATCAGAGTAGCAGCTGACTCAAGCTCAGTAACGGTTTACGGTCGTGTGAAGATACAAGAAAACACGGGTCAGGGCCGTATAGCAATTGCCTTATTCCCAGGTTACGGTCATAATATCTAGTATATTTATTGCTAAATCGCATATACTAGCTTAGACACTGCCTGCTATTAATCGGCCGAGCTTAAACTCCAGTGGTACACATTCCTGGAGAACTCCATACAACGATTAAGGCTTTTATCCTACCACGTAGCGAAATTCCAGTCCAGGTCTTACTTGGACCAGGATCCTTCAAGAGGCAATTACCACCCTAGAGGTATACATATAAGCAAGATATTAATATAATAATTCAATTAGCTGCGTAAAAGTAGAATATAGTAACTTACTTTAGGTTAGAATTTAGCCCTAGAATTAGCAACGAATATTATTCGTTTTGTGAGTTAATAGCTAATTCCAGTAACATTGTTGCTGATATTCTTCAAATGAGCAATCGGCCTGAACGCATTTCTGTGCAGTCCGCCAAATGTTTGAATTTACATAGCCCTCTCCGCACGCATCAACTTCGCCCCAATTACTCCAACTCTCGGCGCAATTGCATGTAGTCCGCTTAGCTAGAGTCGACTCCTTAATCGGCCCAGCAATAGCCAGGCCGACTAGGCTTACAAGGCCGAGAAGCAAGGGAGAGGACTTCATATTCGTTATATAGCAATAAGAAAAGTTGATAAAAGCTGATTGCTATTTTGGAGATAAAATAGAAAGAAAAGAATAAAAGTAGCTAGTAGTAAGCAAGTATTCTTTTAGCTTACTTTTCTTAGGGGGATTATTGCTTTTAAATATATTTAATAATTCGCATAATACTATTAAGTTTAATGCATTTCGGTTTTATATAACTAGAAACGTGCTTAAATTATGCGCCAAGATAAAACCTGACTCGCTAGTAGGTTAGTAATTATAATAGACGCTAGTAACCAATTAAATTATAAAAAATATATAGTAATCAAGGAAAGCATAACTTACTATATAAAACCTAGTAAATTATTTTATTAAAAAACACGTGTCAGTATAATTACTGGAGCTGTATATATATTTTGTGGGGAAAAGAGGCTTCTACTAGCCTTTATATACCTTGTAAAACAAGTTATGCTATTTACTATTACTATTACGCATAATATTTGTTGACAAGGTTGCCCTGCCGGCGCGATTCGCGGGAAAGTAGCCTAAACGTGTTGAATCCAACGCTTACAAAGCACGTATACGCGGTTAGAAATAGAATATTTTATACTAGGTTCTATAATATACTTAAAACTATATAATATACTGCGCGTTAAGTAGGGCACGCGCTTACGTGTAAACTCCTTATATATATAATAAATTATATCTCTTTAGCTGCCTAATAGCTTGCAGGGCCTCTTCTGCTACATAATTTTCTTAGGTAAGCGAGTCTCCACGGGCTATTAGGCGGCTAAATAGATACAAGTATCCACACAGCTCTATGCATTACAATGCCATTACTCGTGCAAAGTCATGCCCTCCCTATCCTGCAGGCCTTGCAGAGGCAATTGGCAAGGCTCTTGCATGAGTAGCAGATCCACCAGACTTCTATATTGTCATGCCACCAGACTGGTTATGTGACAAGGGCTAAAGGCTTGGAGCCGCATGACTCGATTCATCGAATAACAGCACTGAGTCTTTGGCATCAAAGGTCCTTGGGTTTCTTGAAGGCCTTGGTGACCAAAGACCTCTCGCGATACAAGAACTCAGTGAGGGACTTTGCCCTAGATCCCGTGACCGCAGCCCTCGTGTAACCTTCGTGTGACAGGGCACTTGAAAATAATGCCATACAAGCCCGCGATTTACCAGCCACCTACTGCTTCTTCCGCGACCGTGATCGCGACTTATTCCGTTTGGCCACAGGCCAGTCACCTGTGTCCAAGGACAGTTCATCAGCAGAAGTGTCGGAATTATAGGAGCGTGATTTGTGTGAATGTGAATGACGTCTCAAAGGCGTTTCCTGGCCAGTGAGCGAAGCCAAAGTCGATGGTATTCTAGTGCCCAAGCATTACGGTTCCCGGACCGTCAACATGGCTGTGCGGAACTCTCAGCACCTGTGACCGGTACGCATGATTCTTATGGAATGCATCTCAGGCTGTAGCATGCAGTTTCTAATCCATTGCCAAAAACTCAATTACTTTTCCCCCGAGCAGCGCCTCAGCATACTCGCCAAGGCCATGGAGGTCGAATGCAAGATTAATTTCCAGGGTGTGAGGCATGGAGATTTTGCTCCTAGAAATATCATGTCATAGTATACGGGAGCTGCTGTTCAAAATTATCGGGTTTTGCTGGTTGACTTTAATTCTTCTGCAACCTTTAGCCGACCCGACTGCAATTATAAAAGGCAAGAGATGACACGCCCAATCAGCCCTCGTTATCGTTTTTGGGGCCCATGCCCAAACGAATTCCTGTCATGGGTTCCTCGACCACATTGTTCATGAACGGCAGCTTTCAAAGGGTGGTTGAAGAGTTGGTGGGAGCATTCTGAAGAGTTTGCGGACCGTACAGAGGGATACATCAGGATCCTTGACTATGACGAGGCAGTTGAAATGCTCCGGCCTCAGCCAGACGCCGACCATGTCCGTTCTGCAAGGCCTCCAGTTGCTAATGGGGACACGTCGTTAGTGTATATGACAAGCACCACCTGAGCGTATACCAGAATACGGAGCATTGAACAGCGGAATTATTAACGCCTTTACAAACCAGACCCTTATAATAACCCGAACCTATAAAGGGCTACAGGAATCATAACGTGTTAAGGCCCGTAAATACCAGAAAAAGCAAATCTCGCGCCTAACAGCCTCGTGTCGACACCTTGTTGGTCAAACATCGTTACGTGACATGGCAAATGTCTCACTCAGATGCCACCTCAGCCTCACTACAGCAAATTTGCACTCGGCGTTGTCATTCTGAATGCCGAGACAAAGAGCCTAATAGTGTTGCGACTGTGACGCCACCGGCGGCCTTGCGAGTGTGAGGTGGCTATCTCATTGGTGTTCTCATGATTACGCATGTGACAAGTCGCTGGGGGAACGTAAAATGGGTGGTAACGAGGCATCTTGCAGAAAAGAGCAGCCCCAATCAGTGGTTCTACTCTATTTTTGTGATCGAATGGCTGCATTCAGGCGTGGAACATGGGATGAGATGGCTACTCTGGCGCAAAGAGAGCCCGAGCCAAAAAGCAGTTGAGATCCAAGCCTTCCGTTTCTTTCTGGTACCACATACCCTGCCCTCGTGAGAAGAGGTTCAAATTATTGCAAACCGCTTGTCCCGTCATTAACATTTGAATCATGGAAGATCAGCAAGGTGAACATGAAAGTCGTCTCGGTCAACCTCCGCGGCCGGATTCAGACGATAACCTACGGGCAATTTCCGACGTCTCCAGAGATGGCTTCCATCCTCCTCATAACTTGGAGTCGGAAGAATCTCTATCCCTGGCCCAGGGCAATCCCACGCCCTCCAGTCCACTACCCGTCGCCGTTACTATAACTGAGCTACAGGGCCAGGGTCAACTTGTTGATTCTGACGCCGACGGCTCCGCCGAACGAGAGCCCTTCCTTGGGCCTTTGGACAGCCAGAACTCGGGGCCGGAGCCGCAGACTCGTCTTGAAAACTCCCTCAATGGAACGTTCTTGGCTGCTCTATCAAGCTCGCCGAGGATTGCAGACAAAGATCATGTAGTGTTACAATCTCTCCGGCGGGACGAGGCAGCTACACCGAAAGCTACTCGTCCAAAAGTCAAACCGTTTTGGAAAGTATGGATGCTTGAGATGGCCTGCATTTTGCTCAGCTTCTCTACCTTTATTTGTAGGTCATACTCAAGTTATAGACGCGCGCAGGATTCACGAGTACTAATAAACCTACTCCCTCGCCTCAGTAATCGTTATGGTACTCTCTAAATTCGACCAGCAGAGTGTGCCGGATTGGCCATTAAAGGTGACGCTGAACACGATGCTCTCCTTTTTCGTCACGCTGACGAAGGCGGGCTTTATGTTTCCCGTCTCAATCGCCATCAGCCGAGCGCAATGGAGCTGGTTTCTCCAGGAGAGGCCTCTCTACGACTTCCATGTCTTGGACCAGGCCAGTAGGGGCGCCTGGGGCTCTCTGGTCCTGTTATGGCACATCCGCTGCAGCCACTTTATCGCACTCGGGGCGATTCTCATGGTTGTGAGCACCCTGACGTCTCCGGTTACGCAGCTGGCCATCAACTACGCCGTGCGAGACGTGGCGGCTTCCGGGGAGGCCAATACCTTCGCTGTCCGTACCATCATGTCGCCACAAGACCTCATTGGCTGGGCGACGCATAAGTCTGCGTCAATAACTACAGTAGGGGACAGTATAGACACGACAGGGTTTATACTTCCAGTCTCTCCGTTTGGAGCGTTTTGCTCGACTGGAAATTGCACCTTTGATAGGTTCCAGTCGTTGGGCATCTGTATGGAGATGGCAAACATATCGTCGTACCTTCACATCCAAGAGTTCAAGGATCCAGGGCCATTGCAGATGTCATTACTTGGTATTCCTAACGGCTCGGACATATTCCCGGGGGAGACAATATGGAAGGCGTCCCTACCTGGCGATTACAAAATGATACACCAAGGCAAGTTGGAAGTGCTTACGGATATACTGACTGGACATGATAGCTTCGGATTTCAAAATAACGGGACCCTATTACGGACCAGAATTGCGTCCTTGGTGCTCATCTATACTGTTCCAGTGATTGACAACATCACTTCGGACGACCCTTACCTCGCTGACTTGGAGGGGTTTGCAAAGTGGATGCCTGCTGATCCCGAGATCCAGCATGAGGCTTTGGAAGTTATATTCTACCTCTGTGTTCAGTCCTACGAGACAAGTTTCCGCAAGGGCGTGGAGACGACTAGCCTGGTCGGCTCGCTAGCCAAGCCGCTTGAGCAAGAAACCCATTTTTTCCTGGACGTGAATTGCACATCTCGGTTGAAAGAAACAAAGACTTCACAGAGTTGCGGGAGTAACAAGTCTCGAGGGAACGATACGATTCGACTTGAGAGTCCAGTCCAGGCCCACAGAGGGCTAAATTCATCAGAAGGAGATTTCAGCGCGAACTATGGCTCCATGGAAGACATGGCGACTGAGATAAAACGGAGCCTTACAGGCGGCGTGCGCCTCCTGTACGATCCTCGCTATTATCCAGACCCAGATACATGGACCATTGGAGCTGATTTCGTAGGAAGCAGCCTCGCAGGTGTCTTCTTTGAGCCGAGCAACATAATCAACCAAACCCGCCGCAATGCTTGTGTGCAAAATCTTTATATGAACTTTGCTACCACTTTGTCTTCAACGTAAGCCAGACTAGATGTTCCGCAGTTTAAAGCCCTGACACTAATCCTCTACTTCTAAACACTAGACTGCGAGCTGTTACGCCTAGAAGGTACACGATTAACGCCTACAATATCACTGGTAAAGCCTGGAAGGAAGAATCCTACGTTTACATTACTTGGGGATGGATCTCGTTCCTCGCCATGGAGCTTATAACTGCGACTGGCTTCCTAACTCTTTTAATTGTTACCGAAGGCCGTCTTGCTAGTAGCCAGGTATCAAGTCCAGAGGACCGTCTTGTATTCCAGGATATCAAAGACTCATCCTGGGCAGTACTCGTTGCTCTCAACAAGGAGTGTCACGGTGCAGCCGGCGGTGGGATTCAACCTATGGATGAACTAAAGAAGACTGCAAGAAGTCTACGGGTGAAGCTCAAGGGAAATCAAGTTGTACCCCAAGAGGGTACCGCTGAAATGCCATCTAGGGGTGATTAGCAGTAAGAGCCGAGTCTAAAACGATGAGCATGGTTCGACACTTTGGTCAAGGGCTGCTACTAATAAACACGAGGCCCGTGTTGAGCTATTCCTTGAGAGATATTCTGATGTTAATTCGAAAAATGGAAATGGTCAGACGTTACTGTTCATCGTAGCCCTCGTGTAGCCCGCGTGACAGTAGATTGGCAGGACTTTGGATTTAGCGCTAGTGAATTTATTATATATAATTTTTTTTTATCTGCACTACTATTTCTCGGAAACGAGTACCGGACGAGCCGTCCCCTGCCATGGCACGGCACAGCCTTATATGACTTGCTGTACAAAATAAAGTTTCGGCAGTTTACAAGTACGTATGTATTGATGCTTTACCTGGCGTCTGGATCGTACCGATGCCAAAAAAGATACAAGGTGAGGAGCTTTCCGGAAATTCCGGCATGTACAGCCTCTATAGCCAAGACGCGTGAAACTCGAAACGGGGCGAGGTTCATGCATAATAGCCGAGAGAAGCTTGGCATGACCCGACGTATCGGGCTGTTAGGCAGCCAGGGTAGTCTATTTTTGTGTATAAACTCGGCAGACAAATTTCCCTGCAGAGAGTTTACCATCTTGGCATGAGACGAGTGAGCTTTGCGGGCGCGTTGCGTAGATGATAGCATGACATGGCAACATGCACTCCTTTGGTCTACTTGCTAGAATGGCGGTTCTGACTCCGGTAGGGTTGTCCAAGGTAATTGAAAACACCGATCGCGCATTACGCATAAGATGTTCGCGTTTTCTGTTACCCATGGGCCATGTCGTCCGGACCAACTTGGCTCCTGAGTCGTGACCCATGCGCCCGCAGGCTTTAAAGCCCCGTCGTTGACTGCCAAGCGTGCGCTATTATCTAATACCGCGCGCGTCATGTCCTGTCTGGTGTGATGTTTTCGTTGTTGGTGCCTGAGCCGCGTCATTGGCAGCCGTGCGAAGCGACCGGCCGGATTATCCGCGAACAGAGTTATTTGTCAAGCCGACCTGACACAATACGATACAATACAATACAATAAAAGACTGGCCAAGAGAATGCAATTTCATCAAGGATGTACCGAGCTGCCGAACTATAGGATCTACCCGGCTACGGAGTGGTTCCTTGCTTCGGCAATTATTCCCGAATTAAAGTTGGCAATTGATAGGCACGCCACATCGAATTGATATAGGGACGCCGCACTTTCCCATTCGCGGATGCCCCATATGTGTTGGTGTAATGCATACCAGGATCGGCAAATGTGGCCGCTGATGATGCATGAGTCCGTGAAATGTCGGTTACTGTATGGTACGAGAACTCCAGACTTGATGCATGGGCATCCTTGATGGCTTCGTGTCGCCTCGCGTGCCTCACCTGCCGAATGAGGCAGGTGCCAGGCACGTTGTTTATTACGAACTAGGCCGGCGATGCGTCCCAACTTGATTTCCTCCTGCGGCAGCACCATCAAGCCATTCACTCAACAATGTCTCAACGTCCAGCACATGGCTTGCCCTGCTATTGCAAAACGACAATTCCTGAATCAATTGATGTCTTGGAGCAAACCGTTGACCGGTCAGTTAGTGGCCGACCTGCCGAGAGAGTCCCCCCTACATTTCGCCCCTGGCCATGTTCTCAACGCCGCGTTTCTGGAGAGGGACCCCCGGATGATGCTCTCTGCCTTGTGCCTGGGCAGTCGACTATGGTTCATCGTGTGCTCAAGGTTTCCTCTTCCCAATACCCCGGTAGCTGGGGCGTGGACGGACAAGGCCGGGGACATGGCGAACCCAAGAGAGTCTTGTATCACCGTCATGCATCACTTTGACTACACACCGATACCCCGGTTTTGATGTTTCACTGCCGGCAGTCTCTCGTGCAAACCGCCTCCTCGGTACCGAGTAGAGGGGCCCAAAATAGCCTAGTTGAGGGCTGACTGGATAATGCGTCGATCGGCGGTGGTCTGATGTAGAAACCTTGCAGAGCCTCATTTTTGGGGTCAAGGGGAATCGTTAGCGTGCTTCTGGAAGCCTAGATACGGACAAAACAGCGACAAGAGCTGGCTCAGCCTCTTTGCATTATAATGCCGGGTGGTTCAATGTCATCAGTTCATCCGTCGGGCCGTCAAGCCACCCCCGTGCATCAACAACTTTATTTTGGCCGTATGATGGCATCTTGGCTCAACTCTACCAATACTCGTACGGGTTCTCTCTATTCATGCAAGCTAGCATCAAGTCGCCCGTACGCTCTATCGAACCGCCAGTTGAGGCATTCAGCTCTTTGCCACGCAATCATGCGGTCCATGTCCATGTCGTATCCTGGGCAGCAGCCTGTTGGAAGCTACCACACTGCATCACGGCAATGCCATCAAGGTTTTGGGAAGACTTGCCGAAATAGGAATCTCATAATGAAGAGATATTCATGCTTTTGCTCGACAACTAAATCTATAAAGTAGCCACGACGAACCCGACGAGAGGGCAGATAATCACCATCTCCCCATCTCAACACGACTACGCTTTCAAGTCACATCTTGACTACTTGACCGCACTCTTTAACAAGTCAACATTCACATCGCTTTCTTCCCCTCTCAAAAAATAAAACAAAAATGAAGCTTTCTCTGACACTCGCCACCACCCTCGTCGGTCTCGCTGCAGCCGCGCCTCAGAGCGACCCAGTTCCCGAGGATCTAGCGGCCAAAGTAGAAGAGGTCTTGAGGCAGGTAGAAGTCAAAAACACGGAAGCCAACAACGGGGGAATAGGAGGTACCATCAACGATGTGGTCAAGCAAATTGTACCCCAAGCGGCCGGCAACCTATACCCCCCCATTGGGCAGGGAGCCAGCATCGTGGCCCTTCTGGCAACGTCAGAGTACAAATTCGACGAAGCAAACGGCAAGGAGTGGCTCAAGAACCTGGGCGGCCTAGCACTTTCCTTTCTCCCTAAAGTCGCTACTCTCGGCAATCTGCCCGGCTTTATCGGCATAATAAAGACCATTGCCATTGGTATCGAGGCAGCCCAGTTCCCCGAACTCACGGCCAAACGAGCAGCAGCCGCAAAATGCTTTGCGGCCAATAGCGAAAAGACATACAACGATGTTTGCGCCAACTGCAAACCAGAGCTGGCCATGTCGCTGCTCGCCAGACTAAACAAGTGCACCAACGAAAACGTCGTCAGCCGAAACGCCTACGAGGACAACAAGTTTGCCCAGAGCTTCTGCGGCACCGTCCTGTGCTCCGGCCATAGGGCAGGAGATATCGACAACATCATCAAACAGGGCTTCCGGTACGATCCTGTCCGCGCCTTCTGGTGCAAGGAGAAGGAGGAGATTATTGGCATGATTATGAGCCCTTGGATCGGGCAGCCGCTGCTGGAAAACTACCACAAGCTCGACCATGAGGACTTGAGGCAGGCTCTGACGGAGCCGTGCCAGCAGCTTTTCAAGGTGCAGGGCTTGCAGATTGACGGCGTGTGCCCGACGAGGGCTGAGTTTGATGAGGCGAACACGCGGTCTGTTCCGCAGAGCTTCTGCGCGCCTGGGAAGAAGATTACCCCTCAGTCCTGAGTCTGATGGTCGAGCCTGGCGAAGAGGTTGATCTTGGGTGGGTTGCTGCCTACTTTTGTCCCATGGATGCCATGTGTGATTTAGACAATGGCGAGAGAGCGTGGCTGTTGGGATAGTCTTTTCCGCCTATGGCATCTCGGCTAGCGAGTAGTTGCATGTATTTAGCTTGTATAGAGTCTGTTGGAGTTTTTTTGTATCAATATACACAGTCGTTACCGCGCGCAATATTTGAAATGATATATATTTGAATGGTCAACTAGTTGAACCTACAAAAGTACGCGGAATTGCAAACATCTTAGCGTGCCTTGTACTCGGAATCATACTGTCTTATATAAAGCTTGTAACACTAATGAGTAGATTTTATAATATCAAAGCTATTATTGATATGTTATTACCCGCTATTCAACGTCTAGATAAATTCATAACTGTCCTCATAAACAAGATTTACCCCCTCTCTAGGCTTCTGGGCACTTTCCGCCCGTCCCGTTACAAAATCCACCTGTGACACGAGCTTCGGAAAATCAATAATGTCCTGTACACGTAATCCGAGGCCCATCTTGGCGCATACCGAAGCCATCCTGGCTGCGGCAATCGAGTCCCCCCCATATCAAAGAAGGAGTCGTGGGGATGAATTTCCCCATCAAAACCACGGAAACATTTCCAAATCGATGTAAACTCGTCCATGATTGTTGCGAGGGCCAGAGCGGGCGGTCGACTCTGCGACGACGACGAGGGCCGGCCTGGTTGCAGCGGCACCAAGCAATGGCTTTGGATGGTCTTGGCCGGGGGATACAATCGAGAAACAGATGCAACGCTAGCCTCTGGATTATTGTGGATTAGTCTTAATATGCCAACGAACAAGTCCATGACGGCCTCGGCCTCGCCTGTTTCCATCGTCTCTTCCGAGTACCGCAGGAGAAAACGCGCCGTGCCACCTACACTTGGCCATGCCGTTAACCAGCATGCACCGCTCTGCAGTAACCCCCCTCCGTACACGGCGCTTCCGAGTTTTGTCCAACCGACTGAGCCGGGTAGTATTTGGTCCTCGTCCCCCCGGCCTGGAATGTTCTGAAATTGGAACATGGAGTGGAAGCCTGCGGCACTTGGCCAGGGGGACTGGGCTGCAATGCGGTTGAATGGCGTTGCTTCAAACGGAATAGTATCTATACCTTGATGGTATGCGTCCTTGAGAAGACTGCCAAAACATTGGTTTGTATCAATGCGGACTCGAAAAGGAATCACATTCAGACGACACGGTCCCACCACCTCTTGCGCGCCTTGGAAAGCAGCATACCGCCCAGAGACTAGATTGCCAAAGGTAACGTCACAAGACTGCGATATTTGGGACAAGGTAACTGCTCATGCGACTTTGAGCATCACAGGATAGCTGATGGTTGCGGAATGCTTGAAAGCAAATGCAATAGTGCGCCTTGAGCCCCGAGACATGACGGGCTGAGCGTTGCCTCGGAAAGGCCTCACAATGCTCGTGAGGGCAGAACCCTCGAGTTTCTCTCGCCAAAAGCAATCGGCCTCATCGTTGCACTGCTGGATAGTGTGCTTGATGGAATTCATGGCCGACGAGATGAAAACTTGTTCGGAGGATGGGATGGCGCAGCGCAACAGCGGCGCAAGCTTGTTGAACCCGAGGAATCGGTGATATGCCGACGTCGATGAAGAACCAGCAGTAATAGGCGCGGCACCATTTTTGGCACTCGACTAGGAAACAGAGCTACATGTGTGACGGAGGGTATACGTCTTCGATTCCAGTCTCCATGGCCACGACCGGCGGCATCTCTCCCTCGTTGGCAGCTCCAGTGACCCCATTCATGTTTTGGTCCCTTGACCTGGAGCCATCGCGCGCCCAGATGTATCCTGGGTTTTTGATAGAGATGACGATTGCCATATTTCTCAACGTCTTGGCTCCAAAAATGTCCTGCGCAGTGACCTGTGCGCCCTTGGCCTTGAGCAAAGAGATGAGCCTGATGGTTGTGTGGGAATCGCCGCCTACGGCAAAGAAGTCGTCGTGCAGTTCATATGTCACGCCGTCTTGCCTGTTCAGAACCTGCTTCCAAGCGTCTTCAAGGACCTCCTCTGCCCTATTCTTCATCTCCATCTCATCACTGCTGCCATCTGCTTTCGTGGTCTGTAGATACTCCATCATCTTGGCTGGGGCTTGGGCCTCGGCGGCTGACGCGAGGCGTCTTTTGTCCGTCTTGCCGGTCGCATTCGGAGGCCACGAGCATACGGGTGTCCACAAATTGGGAACCATGTATTGCGGCAAGTTATTTTGGAGTCTGTGTGCTGCCTTGGATATCGCCCTCTTGAACATGTCTGATGGGTGAGCAAGGAGTGAGTCTGGAGAGGTTGCGTGACAGTCTGGCAGCTCAAGAAAAGCAGCCAAGGTGTTGTTGCCGCCCATGTTGACTTTTGCAACGGCAACATGACGAGCTTCTGAAAATTGAGGGCAACATTTTCGCCTTCTCAATCTCTCCGAGCTCAATCCTCAGGTCGTTGAGCTTGATTTGCCCGTCGTCCTTTGACTCCTCTCTGCCCATCATCTCCACGTTGCCGTCGAAATCAAACCGCGCCAGGTCTCCTGTTTTGTACAGGATATTGTCCTTTTCCTTGGCAATCAAATCGACATATGTGATGAAGGCGGCATTTGTCTTCGCCGCGTCGTTGAGATACCCTCTGGCCAGCGTCGGTCCGGAAACCACGAGTTCCCCGACGCAGCCTATGGGCATTAGATGCCTGCAATCGTCTTGATCAATAATCCACAAGTAGCCGCCTAGACGCTTTCCCACGTGCCTGACTGGCCTATCCGGGCTGATGGCTCCGACGGCACAGCTAATAGCGGCTTCTGTTGGGCCATAACTGTTGACAAATACCTCCAGGGGTGGCTCGCGACAAGCCTACTCGTCTATAAAGGCTCAGCTTGCCATCTCACCTGCAAGAGTGAGGCCAGTAAGTCCGGGCAACGCGGATAGCTCTAACAAGTTGGCTACCGCCGGCATCAGATGGACAAAGTTGATCTTCATCTTGACAAAAACCTCTTCAAGATGACTGTTACACGGAAAAGGCCCAACAGATCGTGAAGCAAAACAAAGGGGCTTCACCGATACAGGACTTGTTAGTTACACGGCTAGAACACGTGCCCGGGCAAGGACCCTACGCCCGGGCGTTCCTTTTATGTATATAAGGCGGTCACCCTTCTCTTCCTTCCTCGTAGCAACTCAAGACCTTAAAGACCCTTCGAGATTATTGTTGAATTGAGCCCTTTTTGCTCCAAGCCTTCATACTGAACCCTTGTCACAATGACCCATGCGGTCCTGTTCGGACGGGATGCATACGCAGCCACCATAGGCCAGGACGGCAAAAATATCCAGGACACTGGCGTCAAAAGTATACGAGCTAAATTGAAGAGCGTGCGTCTTGTTCCCGCGTCGATCATGCTGGTATCTCTTGCCGTGCTCTAAGATGCTTAAGCTTGCGGCACCGTGTTTCACCATCACATCTTTGGGCTGCCCGGTGCTGCCCGAAGTAAACATGACATAGGTTATATCGCTAGGGGTAGCTAGTCGAGTTTCGTGTGGTGTCTGGGTTCAAGTGGGCGCAATGAAAGGAAACGTGGACGCAAGGGCTAGAGTGTGTACGGCAAATCTTAAGGCAAGACAATGACGACTTTTGCCTTGACCTCTTGAATGATAAACTCTAGGCGAGAGCGCGGATGAGACGTATCAAGTGGGACATATCCGGCCCCGGCCTTGAGCACTCTCATCATGGCGACGATCATGGAGGCCGACTTTTTAAAACACAATGGAATGAGGTCCCCGGGCCTGATACCATGTCTTCTGACTAGGGTCTCCTTTACAGCCGCTGCTGCAGTATCTAGTTCGGCATATGTTAACTTTCCGTCATGCGCGTCGACGGCAAGATCGTGTGGCTTCCGCGCAGCAGAAATCTCGACGAGCTCGTGGAGGCACGCCTTGGTACAACACTGCGGTGTTTTGTTCTAAGCCAGAGACTGGGAAAAGTCATGTTGCTTTGCTAGGCTCTATACTGTAGATTGGATAGTAGAAAGGCCGGCACTGTGTCTATTTAAGCTCGCAATCATTCATGAAAGCTGCCCAAGCATACCATTCACTTCTTGTCTTTGCATCAGCATAGGATCGTACAAGGCGGACAAGGAGATGGTATGTTTCGGGCGATTGTGCGCGCATTCCGTCACCAGACCGAAAGAACCGACCATGCCCGGCTGATTATCCAGCACGCGAGTAAGCCCTAGAGGCAATACATTGTCTTCTAAATGCGTAGGTTGAACAACCAAAAGGTTCCGAGCCCTGTATGCGTCTCGAGCAGACTTGTTAACCTTTTAAATCTGGCCTAGCCTAAGGGATTTATAGGGCATTATTGACATGGCCTGCTCATGAATTTGCGTCAGGTATTCCGCTATAGATTGATCCATGTCAAGCTCTACTATCACGGGCACGGTTGTGATGGTTAGGCCGGCCATCTTGTTGATCCCAGCAACCGCGGTGCCACGTCCCGACGTGGTGACTGCAAAGCAGGCCTTTTTGGTTTGCCCCGATGACCTGCTGTGCATGGAGACAAGAATGGCCTAAGCAGCCCGAGCCACAGTCGCAAAAGTAAATGGGAAAGCGTTGGTCCATTCCAGGCGTGTCTCGATTCGATGACTCGAGGCTGTCGCAGGCGTGTATTGCGAAGAGGGCAGAGCTGGAAAATGCTCTCCGTGAAAATCACCCGTACTCCTTTTCCAGAATCCAGCGGCTTCCTCCTCATTTTGAGCACGGATATGACCAATATAGTTTTTGAATGGCGGCCTGGGCGGAGGGGGATGAGAATACTCATAGGCGTACTGAAAGTCTTCCTAAAGCATCTTGGAGGAATATCCGTCGAAAACGGCATGGTTTTTGAGCACTTTAAAAACAGGCCCTTGGTGCGGATCTAGAGTCCTACATCGGAAAAGAGAACTGCCCATTGTCATGCTTGCATTGAATGCCTTGTCGGTTGCTGACTCGTTCTAATCATGAGGCAACTTGCGGACCCCCTACACATTCTTGAACCCCCTGTCCGTTAGAATGGAGCAAATGCGCGTCCTCATGATGGGATGTTTCTGCTGACGAGATCCCAAGCGGAGCGGAAACGTTGCAAGTCTACGCTCGGGGGAATTTGAAAGGATTCACGCGCAATGTAAGCATTGGGTATTCGGGCCGTGGCGGCGATTAACGCCTCCATGGTCGGTGTGCATGGATAGACATCTTCAATTTGGGAGACATCGATTTGGCATATTCTCGCAGCTTGGGTATGTTGTGTCGACATCTGATTGAAAACGCCGTCCGTGGTGCTTGATTTCCCGTTGGTTTCCTGGTGAGACGGAAAATCTTGCCTCTGTTCCACCAGTCTGGCCAGATGTTCGAATTTAGTGTTCCGAAGTATATCAGCAACCTCCAACCTGAATCCCCTCTCTCGACACATGGTAGCCAGCCCGATGGCTGTTAAAGAATCTCCACCAAGAGAAGGGAACCGACTATCCAAGTCGATTTGGCTGGGATCCAAGGACCAGATTTGTGCCCACAACCCCTGAAGGACCTTTTCAATACTGGTCCGCGTCTCCCTCTTTTGAAGTTTCCCCCGCCGGTACAAGGCCATTTTATCGCGTGAAGATTCCTTGACAATGTGGCGCAGTGCTCCGCGGTCCACCAGTCCGCTGGTGGTCAGGGGAATAGTGCATATCGGTAGATAGAACCGTGGAACCATGTTAGGGGAAAGCGTTCAGAGACGCGAGTGAAGGCGGTTTGGATCATGCGTTGGACGTCATCTGTTGTGTCTAGGAGCCTGCACTCTTCACCCGTCTTTGTTGTGGTAGCCAAGGTGAAAAAGGCAACCAAGAACTCAGTCGAACTCTCGGATTGGCCAAATTTCTCCACCATGGCGGAAATAACGCCCTCACATTGCTCTATTTCATACTTAGTCTCCTTAAGTGTGACTGGAAGCCCATTCAGCATTGGATAGTGGCCGTTCTTTGCTATGTAGTTGATGGATCCATCCGGATTCTGCCTCACAATATCTCCCGTGGCATAAAATCGACTTTCGCCAGGTAATGCCCACGAGAATGTACTTCCACTGATGAATGCTGGTTGGCTACTTCGTCATCGTTTAAATAGCGGCAAGCAAGTGTTGGACCTGATAATAGAAGCTCGCCCTTACAACCAACAGGAGCCAAGCGGCTGTAGTCCTCGGGATCCACGCCCCAGGCGCGACTAGCAAACGGGTCGCCAATGTTGTTTGGATCTGTAACCATCGTCACATGCTCCCTCATCGTTGTATACGCACAAGACTCGGCAGACCCGTATAGATGGACCAGACGCACCTTGGGACTCCACCGCTCCAGGAGGGTTTGCGAGAAGGGTTCCCCTGCCGTGTACAATGTTTTCAATGTTGGGACTTTCGAGAGAGTCAGAAAGAGGTTTTTGGCGACCGTGGATGTGAGAAAGCAAGCTCAATCTTGTTTTCATTCATGTAGTCCCATAAATCTTCCGTTTGTCGCTCCTCGTTGGGAAGAAACAAACACCCCCGTGTAATAGAGTCAGCCAAATCTCTGGGACACTGATGTAGGAGGCATAGGGAAAGAATGAAAGGGTCCTTGTCCCTTTGGATGGTTCGCGCGTTGTGACATTGACAGGATTGCTATTAACAGCGCAGTGTTGTCGAATAGAAGCCCCTTTGGCTTCACATCATCTTGACTGCAGATCGAGATGGAAATTAGTATACGTTGGTATGACGAGTGATTGACCTCCAACGAACGCAATATGGGTTGCGGCTGTAGAAGCCGCAAGAAACACGCTTAGACAATCTGTAAACATATATGGTAAATATTATATAAGCAACATCTGACTGAACCGCAGCTTGTGGCATTTCTAATACTCGCCCAGGCTTCGGCGGATTTTAGATCAAACTGTTTTCCACTGTCAGGAGAAATCTTGGTCATGGGACCGTTGTTACTCACGGGGGCGTTGAGTATTCCTCTAGCATCAAATTCTCGATGGTGCAATATGCCACACTCACGGGGTATTTTAAAAGTTTCGATGCTTGGTGGGGTGTACAGAGAACCATGTCTACATCCAGCTCGCCTCGGAGCAATTCTAGCTGATGTTTTGCAGAGTCCAGTGCTAGTGGAACGTAAGCAGCGCCAGCCTTGAGCATGGCAAGCATGGAGACGACTGCCACCGTACTCTCGGACATGATAAGGGAATAGTATTGCCGCTTGCGATTCCAAGCGATCTAAGCCTAGCAGTAAGTTTGGAGGACAACATATCTAACTCGGCGTATGTGAGCAGGGCATCACTGGCACTAACTGCGTTCAACGATGGCCACTCGCGAGCTCGCAAGGTAAATAACTGGTCAACTTGAGTTGGACTCGGTGTACGGGCAGAACTATTCTACATCTGCACCTGTTTTGTTCCCTGTGGACTAATAATGTCAAGCCCGTTTAGGGTTTGACGTTGTTTCACAACGAATTCGGAAAGGAGACGGGAGAAGTTGTAGGCGATCCAGCCAAGTTCTTCTCTGGCAATGGCACGGTCGTCGTACATGATGGAGATTAGTAAATGGTTCCCTTGGGGTTAGTATTCCACTGTAAGGCAATCTTCTTTAAATACACTATCCCTAATTGTTTGCGGAATGACTATTTTACTTGTCGCCGTTTCAGACCCGGGAGGTAGCAGTTGGCCCACAAGTAACGAGCTGAATTGACAGGCATTGTGCGCGTCAGCACCAAGCTTGCGTATATTTTGGTGGCCGAATTGCTCCAACGGCAGTGTGTCGATTATAGCAGCCTCAATACCTTCAAGATAACTGCCGACGACTTGGCGCCGGGGCGCGAAAACTCGTCTGGGGACGGTCACCATGGTTGGTCCCACGATGGAATATATATATTCAACCGGCGCGGTACGCCCTGTACGTACGCATCCGAAACTAACATCCTCAAGTCCAGTGTAACGGCAGAGAAGAAGGCCCCAGGCGGCCTCGGCAATCGTGGCCAACGAGTCACGGTCATCAACGGGCAGCTGAACTTTCACCGAGTATTTCTGATTCGTCTCAAAATGTGTTGACGTCTTGATTTGTGGTAGGGCTGTCACGGAGACACCTTTTAGATTTTGTTTCCAGCAGTTTTGTGCTTGAGGTGCTTTGCGTAGCTCCGTGACATATTGTACAAAGGACGAGAAGGGCGTCGGTGCATCTCTTGAAACGTTTTTCGCAGAGTATTGTTGCTTGACATCTGCAAGCACCGACCTGGACAAAGGCCGCGAGGTTTGCGTTTGATTGCTCGTCTCGCAGCCACTAAAACACGCAGGAAGCAAACATGCCTCCCAGTTGCTGAAGCTGTTGCTCTGACTCGGCAGACTCGACTTGGATTCCGTTCACCTTTACCATTTGATCCTTGCGTCCCACAAGGCAGATGCTTCCGTCCGCTGTACACCTCCCAATGTCACCGGTGAGGCAGATTCGAGATGGTGTCAAGCCAGCGGCCAAACCAGGCGCTTAGACAAAGTGTTTCGCCGTCAGGCTCGCGTTATTCACATAACCGCGGGCCAAGACGTGGCCCGTAACGGCGATTTCTCCCATGCAGCCCTTGGGGACCGAGTATAGTGCGCCGATTGAGTCTTGTCGTACTAGTAAAGCCCGTACTCGGTTCCGGTTCGTGCTGACTTCACCCCTTCTGTCGTAACGGTCTGGAGGAAATGGATGAGTACGGCCACGGCACGAGCCAGGTTAGATCCGTCCTCTTGATGCATCACGGCTGACTATTTCAGCATGGAGAATGAATCTGACCCGTTATTTACACACGTAGTATGATACTAATGCGGAATAAAACGCTACTATATCTGCTGGCTGTAGATTGCTCCTATTCTTTGAGTATGTTGCTTGTCTTGGCATGCATTATTGCCTAGAAGCTTACACATTTATAGATATGGCGCGACGTTTAATCGTGCCGGTTGGCCGTCTCCAATAGCAGATATTCGCATATCCTGCACTATAATTTCTTGTGCCGAATTGTGCAGAAGCCGCCTCCGCCTCCGATGAGGTTTTCGAAATACGGGCCATCTTCCTCCCCTTCCTCCGCTTCCCTCCCAGCTCTCCAAGCCTACCAGGTACTTCTATTCACTGACGGCTCCATCATGCGTACCTTTACTCAGTGACCGATCCAACTACTAGAATATACGCCAAATGTTTGCTAGGGAGTGGCTGAGATGCTTGGAGAAAAGATTCAATTCTCCAACACGCTACAGTGAATTCGCCACGAGGGGCAGGAGCAAGTTGACGTTGCAAAAAGGGTGGGCGGCACTCGGTAGAATCAATGGGAAAGGCTGATCATTGTCTGACACGTTCAAAATCAGCGGCATAAATCGCCAGACTAGGTGGCAGCAGTCTGGGAGGCGCAGTTTGCCCCTAATTCTCGTATATAGCTGTCAGGGCTGTTTGTCGACCAGACACCCAGAAGTGCACTGTTCTACAGAATCGACAGTTTACTCGGCCCTCGGTGATAAAATCATGTCAATATAATAGGAAGGGACCGCCCTACCCGCCGAATTGAGTGAGATGGAGTGCCCCTTTATCTCTTATGCTCTACTCGGGCTGTCGGGCACTACCCACCAAACTAGTGTCTCATAACTTGTCAAGGCACCAGCCGCATGAACAGAGTCGCAGACACCTTTGTATAGTATCATCAAACCTTGATGCGCATTTTTGCCATCGGGGTCTCTGCCTTGTCTGACCAAGGAGGGAACGTGTCCTTGGACGGCGGGACAGAATCAGGCAAGTAACACCCCGTCGATGAACTCCTTCAATCATGTCTAATTGTGAGTACGCTATTTACATGCGAGACGGCTAGTTCAAACATGCTGTGATTGGTTTTGTCCAGGTTATAAATATATAAGCTGCCAAGGATAATCATGTATAAGATTGAAAATACAGGTTTAAGAATTATGCTCGAGCGTTATTTCCGCAGCCCTATCTACACCGAAGCGGAGAGGGCAGCAATTGTCTTGTCCTAATACGTGGCACGAGTGCTCGCTCGAGTCAGGTACGTCAGCGACTTGTCCTACTCGTCGAGAAGGAAAGAAATTAAGGAAGGGTGGAGAGAGAATTATGCCCTACCCCTCTCTTGAGAGTATTCAGCATAGTTGTTAGCTTTATATTATGCATAAGCACGCATGTGTCTTTGGGAAGGTGTCGCGACAAGACTGAGTTACAAACATGGGTGGCGTAGGGATTCCCAGGGTAAATCGAAGTGGTATACGGCCATCGAGTTTCAGAATATAGTGCTGCTACAAAAGATCCGGTCCGCATTTCTGCAAGCGATGCTTTTAAAATTAATGCTAATCAATATAGTGTTTCAATTAGAGTAGAGGTTGTTTTATATACGGCCCACAATGCCCATTATATGCAAGCAATTTCTTGGTCTCTTGGTATGCAATGCACTTGAGAGAAATAATAATACAACATGTATTTTTGCCTCGCGTAAAGTAGATATATAATATGTTGAGGTTACGCTCTCTTTATAGCCCATCTCAAGCTCTATATCGGACTATCTGATAGTTGTTCAATCGTTTCTCTCCACTCGTTTTTTATCTCCCTTTACAATGGGGCCCAACAAAGCTATCGCGGCCGCAATCGCCGTGTTCGCAGCCCAAACAGCTAGTGCGAAACCCGTTGACATTCAACCAAAAATTGTTGGAGGATCGCAAGCCAACCAGGCTGAGTGGCAGTCGATCGTCTCTATACGACTTGCTCAAGGGGGCGGGCAACCTTACCACACCTGCGGCGGATCGTTGGTGTCAGCCGACACTATAGTCACGGCCGCCCATTGTAATATAGATAGACTACCGGCTAGCATGTTTTCAGTCCTTGCTGGGTCAAATGTAAGTTTGCCCTTTTCGTATAACAGGTTCTTTAACAAGACGACTCGTGCTGGTAGCTCTGGTGCTTATACTCTTTTAGGACCGCAAAAGCAGGCAAGCTACTGTCGTTGGCGTAGCTGAAATTATTCACCACCCAGAGTTTGACCGTAATACCATGAAAGATGATATTTCTGTTTGGAAACTATCAAGGCCAATTCCAGAAAGTAACACGATTAAATATGCCAGGATGCCGCGGCAGCGCGAGGACCCGCCACCCTCAGCTGCAGTAAAGGTAGCTGGCTGGTATGTATAATCAAGAAATATTTCATCTCTACCGAGCGAGTTTCTGATAACTGGCTTAGGGGAGCTATACAGGAAATAAAAATACCACAAGGTGCTCAAGGTGGTCAAGCCATAATTCCACGAGATGCTCCACAAGAGCCTTCCCCGAAAGGACTTGTTCCCGTCACCATCATACCGTTCCCTCCGACTGGACATCCTCAGGACCCCCAGCCGGCGCCTCAAGGTCCTCAGGCTCCTATCGACGAGGAGACCATCGCGCCTCGACTCCTGCGAGAAGCTATGCTCAGCGTCGTCGACCACAGCACGTGCAGTCAGGCATACGCACCTACGACTCAAGTCCAGCAGCCTGGCCCGATCCAGCCTGGCCAATTCGGCAAAAGACAAGTCTCATCGCGAATTACACAAAATATGATTTGCGCAGGTGCAAGCCGAGGGGCCCAGGATTCCTGCTATGGAGATAGTGGCGGTCCTCTTGTTGATGCCCACTCCAACACACTGGTTGGTATAGTTTCGTTTGGTCTGGCTTGTGGACATCCGACTGCTCCCGGCGTTTATACCAAAGTCAGCAGCTATATGGACTTTATTAGGCGAGTAGCTGGCAATATCGGCGGTAACGGCGACAATGGCAGCGGTAACGGCGACGATAGCGGCAGCGGGAACGGCGACAATGGCAGCGGTAACGGCGACGATAGCGGCAGCGGGAACGGCGACAATGGCAATGGTAACGGCGACAATGGCAATGGTAACGGCGACAATGGCAGTGGTAACGGCGATAATGGCAATGGTAACGTCGACAATGGCAGCGGCAACGGCGATGATGGCGGCGTCACTCAGGTGCCTCCAATGAACTTTGATTACTGTCTAGACTTGCTTCTACAAACCTGGCTATCCAACGGTAACGGCGTCCTCACCCAGGTGCCTCCAAACTATGATAACTGTATAAAGTTGATTTTTGATGTCCAGCTACCTTTCTAGCTATCTCGTTAGTTATTCTAGGTTTCGTTGATCGGTTAGCTAGATGCACCATCATACATGTTTATAAAAATACTCTGTTGAACAGAATTTCAAGACGGTGCATTACGAGTACTATGTTTATCGATCGTCATATTGTGCAGGTCAAGCTGGGCACAAGACATGTTAGGCTTCGAGTGTGTGGTGGTATTTCGTACGAGCATGAATGTGCCGCCGTAAGGATGAAGTATCAACTGATGCGCTGTGACGGAAACGGTCCAAGGTCACACATGGAGTCCTCGGCAGGGCCCAAGTCTTCAAACACAGCCCAGCAGGAATCCAGATTATTTCCGTCGCTGTTCGTTTGTCGCTTCTCATCGACGCTTGTAAACACGAGGCATATAAGAGTACATGTTTGGCATTGAGAATACCAACTTGACCGCAATCTGCAGCGACAATACGCACCAGACCCTTTACAAAATTCGACATGGAAAAATGGTAGCACAAATGAAAGCCGCAGAAGATTCAATACGAAACCATGAACCGTGCCGCCTGGGACGAGCGGGTTCCGTTTGTATGTCGATGCTCTTCGTCAATGATACCAGCTAACCACCTAGAGTGTTACACGGAAAAGGCCCAACAGATCGTGAAGCCCAATAAAGGGGCCTCGCCGATACAGGACTTATTGGTTACACAGCTAGAACACGTGCCCGGGTAAGGACCCTAGGCCCGGGCGTTCCTTTTATGTATATAAGGCTGTTACCTCTCTCTTCCTTCCTTGTAGCAACTCAGGAGCTTTGACATCCTACGAGATTATTATTGAATACAGCCCTTTATCGCTCCAAGCCTTCATAACTGAACCCTTGTCACATAGAGCATGTCGCCTCCGCCGATTACTAAGTCAAGGACTACATCTCCGATGTTGATTTCATCGGTAATATCGTTCAGTTTGACCGTCCGCTCCTCGGTGACATCACCGGGCTTAAGTGTATGCACCTGCAATGCCACATTGGCACCGACATGCTTGGCCTCGCTCGCCTCGGTGCCGTATCCGTAACCGGGCTAGACTTTTCCAGTGTAGCAATTACAGCGGCGGCGAGAAGCTCAAGTTCGTCGAGGCTTCGCTGCAACAAGGGCTGACGGTCCTGCCGCGAGATACGTTTGACCTCGTCTTCATCAGCATCAGCTCCTTGTGCTATGTTGCCAAAATCAAAGAATGGGCTCGTATTGTGTCTGGACTTTTAAAACTGGGTAGGCGGCTGTTTGTCCGCGAGTTTCACCCAGTGCTGTTATCTTTGGACGATGGGAAACCAGATGAGATGGTGATTAACTTGCCGTACTTTAAGCGCGAGGAACCTGTTATTATGGATAAGCAGGGAACGTACATCAACTTGGGGGACTATATATTCACATCAACCAGGTGCGCAGTGTTTAACCATGGAATCGGGGAGGTTGTGCAGGCGCTGCTACATGAGGGGATGAGGTTGACGGGGCTGAGGGAACACGAGAGTGCGCTGTTGACAGGCGCGTAAGCAGAACTAGAGGTGGACGAGCTAGGTGAGTCACAGGTGGAAGAAAAGCCGTTGGAATGACGCTTATATCTTCGTAGGAGAGTACTCTTTGAAACGTCGACCGTGGCGATTGCCCCTTTCCTATACGCTACAAGCCGTCAAGGAATAAGAGCTCAGGATAGACACTCCACCTCGAAGTCTTTAAAATGATTGGAACTCTTAACTGGTACTGCTAATATTGTAGCTTGGTTTGTAATAGTTCGTCTTAGCGGCGTAACCGTAGCCAGAGAATGTTTGTCGTCAAACTACAACTTGAGTGTGACAAGGGCGTGGTTACAAGGACTTGGAACAAATTCGTATTTAGCGAATAATTCGCCTTAATATGAAAGGCCCTTGGTTTCCTCAAGGCCTTTCAAGACAGATACTCCTTACTTATACAACCAGCGATGAGCAAGCGAGCCTGGGGCACAGGCCTCAGCTAGGCCTCGAGCCCCTTTTGTAACTGTCAGGTTCAAGGGACGGCCAGGTTAAAGACAGCCGACGCCACCTCGTCCTCCACTCGGGAATCATGGATAAATAGAGTCACGTAGTATATTGGTCGATTGAGCCCTATATATGATGTACATGGAGACCGTTGGCGCCGTCTACTTGAATCCTACTCTGTAGCACCACTCCCAATCCCCATGCTGCTTATGCTTCCATCAAGACAGGGCGTTCTTTGCAGACTCCCTCTCAGGTTATCGGCTCGCTCAAATCAACGTTGCAAACGGGCATCTCTTTTTTAGGCGGTGGCGACGGGCTCCGGCTCTGCGGCACCGCCGACGAAGCCGTCTCTCGCCTCGCCGACGTCATCACTGGCTTCGCCGACGGACGGCCTGCAGACGAGATGGGTTTCGTGTCGGCAGACTCGTCAGATTCCGATGGGGTCGTCACCTCCGTGTATATCAATTTGAGCGGAGAGTACCCGTCGGTGCCCTTGGTCACATAGATCTTGTCTTGGCCAGAGGTTTCGGCTGCCAAAAACCCAAGGGACCCCAACGCGCCTTTGAACTCGAGGGTGACGGTGTCGCCAGTCTCTATCGTCCCCGTCTTACCCTTGCATTCGCCATCATAAAAGCGCATAGTATAGTCTCGAGTCCTTGTGCCTGAGATGAAGTAGATGGATCCATTCTTGTCTTTTTTGGGAGTACCGACCATGCTCACAATCAACCGCGCCGCCTTTGCGATGTCGTAAAATGTAGGGTAAAGATGCGACTCGCAATGCATCAGATAATAGTCTTTGCCGTATTCCACCTAAACCCAGTAAGTAGGCGCTCTCTGGACGCATGATTCCACATGGTGCTCACCGTGGTAGCGACGTCGCCTTTGTCTGCCGACGCCAATTCCCATGCCAGAAATTTGCCGGTTCGTTTCTCAACCTTGGGTCCGATTTCGATTTTGCCAGGATCTTCACCTCATGTTAATACATTGACATGCCAGCAGTGGAGGAACCGCTTCTTCAACTCACCACTTCCTCCATGTCCCACCATGTACTTGCCCCCAAGGCACGCCTTGACATTCAATGTAAACCTCTGCCCAACCGGGGCCTGAACCGCTGTGCCTGTATTCTTCCACACCGGCAGCTGTTCCTTTACGTATCTGAAGCCTTCCAGTGTGCAAATCAAATCCATCAGGCGCACAACTCTCCCTTGCTAAGCATCATGTCAGGCACCGAGCATGGCAATTCATCAAACAGACTTGACGCACCTTGAGAATTCGCCAGTTGCCATAGTAGGCCACAGATGGCGCCCACGCGGCTGGGCTGGAGACATTGTATTAGTGAACCGAGACCACGTTATGTTACTAACAGCTTGCTTACTCGTTGCACAGCAAAGTGTTTCCCCCGTTCGCTTCCCAGATGAGGGTTTTGGAAGACTCCTCATTAGAGGCGCCCCTCGCCTCCTGAGATGATTGCTGATGAGACGCGGACACGGATCCCGAGTATCCCACGCCGCCCAGTGACACGGCAGCAGCAGCCTTCAGCGACTTGGCCGTTGCCTCACGACTGCTATCCGAGCTCGTCTCGTATTCCTCTGAAGCAAACAGGGACCCCCCGAGCTGAACGGTGGTGCTAAAGAATTCGCCTGGCCGGTCAGCGCAACATCGCAGAACCAGAGCTCTTGGTCTACCTACCATATCTCTTCAAGAATCTGCTATAGCCTGCGGCGTCTTGGATGGCTTTCAAGTCTTGCTCGCACTGGGGTGTTAATTCTAGACCCAGTTCGTCGAGGAACATGGTGACCCGCGGGAACTTGAATTCAGGTTAGTCCGTCAACGTATGCCAGCAACCCAGCTCTGTCACCTACATTGTACGACATTGTCGCTTTGCCCTTGCTCGTTGCCGTGCTGCTTTGATTCGAGGTGTTTTCCGCCACGGACAAGCTTGCAGACGCATCCACGCTGCATCCGAAGGCTCCTCCGCTTCTATTCGGTTTCTTTCGTTAGAACACACGTACTTGTAGAGTTTCAGAGTGCAAAGTACAAACCCCGAGGCTGAAATGTCGGTCTGCGAGAAGCCCTGCCTTGCGAGAGATTCTTGCGCAGCAGAAGTAGAGTAGCGAAACGCGACGTACGACACGTCGTCATTCGTATAGCGCGGAATACGCAGGTTCAACTGCGCGTGTGTCGTGTTAGCGTCAAGGCATTTCACCGTCATATTGCCGTCAATACGAACCTCGACATTCTTCACCATGCTGCTTGCCACCGTGTCGGAAAGCACCTTTCTCGTTGCTAAACGGAATGCTGGTAGGGCATGAGCCCAAGAACGTATTGACCGTTTGTAAGAAGGACTCGGTACTTACCTGGGTACTTGGGCTTCTGCACCCCAAAAACACGCGTCTCGGTTTTCTTCTTTCCTTTTTCTACAATAGTCACATCTTCGGTGATGGTGCTGATGCCGTAGCAGAGCTGGTTCGTCTCAACCACCACTCCCCACTGCTTCTCCTCGAGCTCGGAAACGTGCCTGATTGTGTATTAGCACATGGGGATGATTCATACAGCGTAATCCGTCTCACCTCGCGTTGGTACCAGTCAATGGGCTGCTATAATACGAGGGAACAAAGTCGTTCCATCCCTAGAAAGTGTTAGCCGGGCGATGGACTTGCGCGCTTGACCGACATACCGTCTCTGTAGGAAGCTTTTCATCCTTCATAAATACCTCAATGGCTTGGCCTTTGGCGTCTATCTGATACGAGTTAGAGCCTATAACATGATGCACACACATGTAATGGTATACCTTGAGGCATTTGGATAGGTAGTATTCAACCGACATGGAGTCTTGGACCACGGCACCTGATGCCAAACAAAAGGGAAACTGTAAGCTAATCTCTTCGGTTAGCCAAGGAGGACGCATGGTTAGCTTTTGCCACCTTACAGTTCAACACAGCGAGTGTCCTTAACAATCAGCGATCTCAAGTCAGATAGCTTCTCATCATCAATATCGGTGCTGTGAATCTCGAGAAAGAAGGCCTCAACCGTGCTGTCCACGCCATCCGTCACATTGATGATGCAAGTAACGGGCGTTGGAGGGGGTTGGGTGCTGGTTGCCGTCCCAGGCTTCGAGGCCTCGGTATTCGCAGCATCAGGCATGTTGATGGGATGTCGGTAGTGGTTAGAAATGGGACAGTAGGAATTTCTCAACTCTTGGAAGGAGTCTTGGTACGGGATTGTGTACGAGTGCAGATGGTGATATTTATAATGGATTCTTCAGTCGCCGTCTGTAGATGCCGTGTCGAGACCGACAACGTCCTCAGATGGTTGACCGCATCGAGTCGTCTCAAGCCCAAGGCTGTAGCAGATGCAATATCGGCCGCCGCATTGGGTCTATAGCAGGCCGGGCGCATGTTTCATTTCTTTGGGATACTGGGCAGACGGGCGGATGGGAACCATTTCCTAAAAGCTCGGTCAAGTCTTACCTTCATCCACACCGGTCTGCGCAAGGCGACCAGATCAGAGGGGCGCTGGGTCGTCACTGCATTAGCATCTACACGTATTAGTCGAATGTTACTCTCTCGACCCCTCCACAGGCATATACAGGAAGCTATTTATGCGGTCCGTCTGCGATGCCGGCCGTGACATGTACGTGGAGGACCGAGGCCGAGGTGTCACAGGATCGTCATCGACGTCCATCAACCAATTGTTCTTGTCTCATCACTCTGCATTCAGCCAGCCATGTATCGGAAACTCCGCATTCAGCCAGCCATGCATCGCAAACTCTGCCAATTTCACTTTCCGCCACCCCAGTCTCCAGAGCGCACCAGATTTCCCCATGATTTGATACGACGGGGCAAAGGTGCCAAAATCAGCGTTTCCGGCCTTCAGAACCCTCGCTTGATTGCCTACAAATGCCGCTGCACGCCCCTCGCCTTGTCTGCCTCGCAACGGCAACTATCGCTTTTGCTCCCCTCCACTCTCTTCTGTATTCCCTGATTCCGCGCTTGGAAAAGCAGTCAAAACGACAACAGTCCTCTTCCTTCTGTCCTCGGCTGCATTTTCTGCTCACAATTCCACCATGCGTAAGGACAGGCCCGACGTACCGTCCGGCATCAAAGGCTGGGGGTTCCTTTCCTCCTACGTCAAGCAAGACTTTACGCCAGCGGGTTGGCTCAGAATACCGGTCGCTATCTCGAGGACATGGCGGCCCAGACCGCGGCGTGACGTGGAACGTCCGACCAAGTATGGCGTGGAAACCAGGCCTGGTGTGCCGATGGGCAACTACAAAAAGAGGGTTCCAGAAAAAAGATTCAAGCCCAAAGATATTTCGTGGCTGGGGTTGAAGAAGACTTCGAAGGTTGGGCCGGCCAAGTAAAGTCGAGGATGAGGCTGACGGGAAAACGACCAAGACGTAATAGCCGTAGATTGGTTGCCCAACCAGTTCGCCGTTAATTACACGCTTGCAAACAAAGAAATTGATGCCGTCCGCGCTTATGAACCAATGTGAAACTGCAGAGCATGTAGTATCTGTAAGACGTGGCACATTGGCCAACAGTCAAGCCCCAACCTGCAATTTTTAACCAATTTCCATTTTGCATATAGTCACGCTCTAAATTAAAGCCTGTAGCGGTTGTTCCTACAATCAAGTTGGAGTAGTGTCCAGTTGTCAAGCGCCTGAGCTCAATAATTGTTGTTGTCGCTCTAAATCTGGATAATTATCAATCCGCGCATTGAGAAGGGCAGACGGGGTCGAGGTAAGAGCATGGAAAGGCGAGCAAAGGTCTCGTGAATCTATTCGCATGGAGCCGAGCTTGAGAATAACAATTACAACCTCCTCTGCACCGACTGTCATATTATGAAGCGGCATATCAGTCCACTGTTTGCGGCAGAGTCGACGACAGCTGTAATCTTGCACCTTTACAACTATGTTAGTCGCAAAGCATTCAACAATGACCTGTGCGTTACAAAACAATGAAAAAAAAAAAGAGGCTCTATAGAATGGGCCAGGTCGCATTCTCAAGACCCGGGAAGACGTACAGCCTAATTGCTTCATAAGAAAGCATACACCAATATATTATAATGTAGCGCATTCGGGCATGTCTTATTATTTGGGATGGATGTAGCAGACTTGTTAGGACCTGCCAGCCTGTACTCCCACGATATGAGACCACTGGAAATACGGCAAGCTGTTGGCCGTGACTGCCTCCAAAGGCGCGCGTAAAGGTTCGCCTCTCATAATTTGCGACAGCATCTTGTGCGCCTTGTTGTCGGGTCCTCGAACCAAGTTTTCGCAGCGGCAAAAAGGACGGCGGGTGACTACGCTGACCACCATTTGGGGTACAGTGATTTCCATTCGGTCATAGGATCCATGAACTTCTCCTTATGCCGAGACCACCTTCTCCGGATCAAAACCAGCAGCCTGGTCAAAGTAGTACCCCCTCTGGTTGGTAATTAGCCTCAAGGGCTCGACGCCATTGCCTCGGTCAAGCGAAAAATCGCAGTTGTAATGGGTGTGCCCGAATGCCCACGCCCTGACTTTGCTGCTCTTGAAGCAAGGCTGCCCCGACATGTCGGTGGCGAAAGCACTGGTGATAGAGCTTCCGGCGTGCTTTGGTTCCACAGCACGAGGATCCAGAGAAGGGCTCCAGTGCGAAAGGATGATGATGCGGACGTCGGAGCGGTCCAGGTCAGCGACCTGACGGTTGAGCCAAGCGACATCCCGTTGATGCATGGCGTTGTGGGTGTCTGTGGTCCAGTCGGTTGTCTGGTAGAAATCGTTGATGCCCATGCCAACAGCCAGGTGTTTATCGGGCAAGATGTGAGAGAAAAGGCTGCAGCCTAGAACGACGATGTTTGTACCCGGTAGGCGGTAGGCGGCTCGGTCGAGGAGGATGAATTCCCCAAGAGACGCGTCGTCACGGGTTTCCTTCTCAAAGATACGCAGAAGTTGGATGGTATCGTCCCAGTTGGATCGGTACGCCTCATGATTGCCAGGGACGAACAGCACAGCCTTGAACTGTTTCAATTGTCGCGTTAGAAATGCAAGACAGTCGGCGTTGTGTGCTTCGATGTAGCCAATGTCTCCAAGGAGAGCCAAGTATGGTGCCGTGGGAGTAATGTCGAACATGTCGTAAGCCATGGGAGACTCTAGATGCAGGTCGGAGACAATCTGGACCGCCATGACGGGAGAAGATGGCGCAGTCTGAGTGCTCTGACGTATCTTGAAAAAAGAAAAAGGCACCAGTTCGTGTTAGGAGTACGTATGTGCATAGTGTCAACTGGTGTGTCATCACCCATCACGCACTGTGTTGTGGTGGAGACTGTTGGCGCCAAAGGCAATGCACCTACCCTAGAGCTGGTATCTGCTGTCAAGTTGCTTTGGAGGATTTCGGCTGTGCCCAGATCTCATCGATGCCTCTATCAAGACATGTTTGGTCACACAGAGGCTCTTCATCTCATTGAAGACTTTGATGTTGGAGTTGCTGAACGCGGGGGCGCGGGCGCACCTGTCACCACAGCCACGCGGTTGGCGAAAGACACCAGGCGGACCGGAATCAGTTTGACCGCGCTGAGAAGCACCATACCGCACAGCTCGTCCTGGCCAAAGCCAAAAGAAGGTCATTGCTGCTTACATATGTACGGAAGCGAGTCTCTGCAGTCGCCCGGGCCTCTAGTGTTCCAGAGTCCTGTCGATGCCAAGCGCCATGTCACAACCAACAGCTTCAATGACCAGCCAACATACTCTTTGTTGCAAGTAGTAGTACTACTATGGAGTGCCGAAGGTCACCTGCAACGGGTGTCTCCGCTTCGTGCCGTGTTACCCTGTTGGTTGGTGATACAGTCTAGATTGATCAATATCTTGCTCATTTCCGTGGGCCATGGCCGTTTTCATACGTGTGAGATCAAGCTATTTTTCAATTTTGTGACGAACGAATCATACACCATTGGACGCATCTACAGATCTTCTATGGTATAATTCCACCCGGACGGAATATTGTCCGCCACAACAGTCTCGGGATCAGGGCCCCGGCCCGTATAGTCGACTATGGCTCCATTCTCAACATGAAGCCTCTTGCTACCGAGGCTTACGGTTCGCTGAGATGCCCAATCCTGAATCTTGTCGAAATTTCGGCACATGTGAACTACTTCAAGCTCCGGCTCCGTAATCTTCTTGCTCTCCAGCCACTTATACGTGATCAAACTGGTGTCCGAGTGGCACATGATGGATTGGCGAAGCGACTCTACACAATGGTCTATCGTTTGATTCCATCAGTATACGGGACGTGGAGTTTCCCAGGCAGCCAGTTTCCTTCTCACCTATGTGCAGCCATTGAATGTATTTGACTGTGCCGTCAGGGTTTGTCAACGATGTGTTGTACCGCCGGGGATAGAAGGCCATTCGAATCTGATTCTGCTTCCAGTGTAAGCTTTACTTCCAATCTCACTCAGCATCTTTGACCGAGCACCTACCAGACAGTGTAGCTGGTGGAATACGTCTAGGCCAACCATGAGGTCGTTCTCACTACCTACGACTGGCGCTTTGACAGACGTATTTAGAAGACGATTGCCGGCGTCCTCATCAACATGTATAAAAGTGCCGACTATTGAAGAGGTTAGGGCGGCTGCATCAAGACGATGGGAGACCCTCTTACCGCCATAGAGCTCTTGCCATAATCGATCGGTCTCGTCCGTCGGAAAGCCCTGGTATGGAGAGCTGGCGTGACTATTTCCCAGCTTGAAGAGGACCGGGACATATTCCACCGCATCTTCCGCTGGACCTTGAAAGAGTAGTTAGTCTAGGGATTCAGAAGAACATCAGAATTGCAGCTGAATCAAAGGAAAATGGCCAGTACTTACTATAACGACCTCCTTGGTCATCGGGACTCGCCTTGCATCGGGCTGTGGATTTACCCACAATCACCAGGACAAGTGAGACAAGAAGTATGGCATTGAGAGCCCAAGAGACAAGAACAGAATGGTCTAAAACTGCGCGCTTGACTCTATGGTACCACGAGCCAGAACGGTAGAAAAGAAGCGAAGAGGGCAATAGACTTTGGCTGTCATGTGCGCTGAGTCCATCATCGTCTTCGTCGCCGCCCATCTCGGCGACTGGATCTTTTCTGAAGTGGCCTAGCGACATCGTGATAGCAGGCGAATATCGTTACATGGGCGGATCGCCTGAACTTGGCGTGAAACAACTGAGAGTGTATATCGGAATTCGATTCTCGGCCAACCTCGAAGAAAGCTGTTCAATACATTCTGCAACCCTCGCCTGGGCCCAGCGTCCTATCAAAGGGCCAGCAGGTCGAAGCCAAGCCAACACCAACTTGCATTTGCAAGGATTGCCGTTATGACTGATCCCCGAAACAACTCGGCATTTGTGACCGTCCATTTTGGTTCGATATGCTGTACCACAAGTACTGCATATTCATCTGTTGGTCTTCACTCCAGATGCGCCGAGACAAGTCGGAGTGTCTGTCCAAGTGGCAGTCGCAAGAGTCTGCCATCGGAAGCCCTCCTTCGGTTTTCCGGCCGGTTTCGGGCGTTCTCATCCCATCATCTATGATGCTGCGCTGTTGAGCTTACACGACCTCTTTCTTTCATTCTCCAAGGTCACAAGATGACCTTTTTGCCAAAGTCGATTATGGCTCCCATCTCAAGCTACGCATACACGCCCATCCCCGTCAACTTGGACCATGGAAAGTCTGAGCCATATCATTTACAGGAAGGGTTGAACGAGAATAGCACTTCAGATCTTGAACTAAGAGACCGACGACGGCAACTTTTCCTGGTCGCTTTGACCTCGCTGTCTTTACTATCTCTCATGATCTTGAGCATGGCTCTGGGGCGCCTTACTGTCACCAACTTCGACTGCGGCAGACAGCTTTCCACTTGGTGTAAGTTGCATGACAGGCAGAGCATGGAATAGGAGCGGTTAACTTGTTGCTAGCACCGGCATTCGAAGCTGTCGAGTATTACCAAACGACATTTGAGGGAGAATTTCTGGCTCCGTCAGTCTGGCGAGGCCCGCCCTCTCCAGAATTGGATGAAGCATGGAACCGTATCTCCATACGAGGCACGGGGAGCTTGAGAATCGCAAAAGACGATCTGTCACGGCTCAACAAATCAGCCGACGCGGAAATTACTGCCGGCTTCGGAGACGGCACGAATGATGTACAAGTTTTGCTGGAGGTCTTCCATCAGCTCCACTGTCTGGTGTGTCTGTCGTCAGATTTTCCCCCTTCAAGCTCAATGCTTACAAGAGTCGTGTTACAGAATGAAATCCGCAAGCACACCTGGCCTGAATACTACAAGTTTGACGCGCCGCCCAAGGTAGAGCGAGCGCACCTCGGTATGCCCATCACCATCGTCAAGTCAAGCCTTGACGCACCTAAGCTAACAGCTATGTATGGGTAACTTTCACAAGACCACTGTATTGAAATGCTGCGGATAAATTTAATGTGTACGGCAGACATAACCCCAATCACAGCCAAACAAGTTTCTTGGAAGAACGGAGACCCTGCCCCGGATTTCAGCACTCTGCACACATGTCGGAACTTTTCCAAGATCCTAAAGCATGTCGAGGACCACGCGGATCTTTGGGGATTCTGGGCCTCGTAAGAGTTGGTGATGAGACCAAGAGACACGAAACGTAGTGGCTTCCGCGATCAAAGCTGCCGCCATGTTAGATGCAATACGGCATCGCAGACAGCAGTCGCTCACGGAAAGTCACCAACTATACGCAGGCCGAAGTTGACACAATCTAGATAGTTCAATTGAGGCAATCTTTCCACTACTGATCGGTCCATACTCATAGCTAGTCACTTTGTTCGTTGCCATATCTTGCTAATCATTCCTAGGACGAGGATGATACACGCTTACCGCGTCACGAGTGCTGCTTTATGTGTACCGTGCTCTGTAAAACTAGAAACTTCCCACAGACTCAACCAACAAGACGTAATGGAAAATGTGCAGCAACCGTGCGTTGCATTTGATTGTCTGGCAGTCTCGAGACCGGCAATGATGACTCGAGCAACCGCATATCCTTTTCCGGCCCCCAACATTGATCTGATGGTCCGTACTTGTTCATGGTTCGGACCGCTCGGCCCCCGAATATCTTGATTCGCTGTTAAGGACGGAAGCTCTTGGCGGTGTGTTAGTCTGTGAGCATCGTGGCTCAAGCCCACGGCCAATATTATGCAGCACCTTTGGAACCGGGCCTCGACTGGAGGGTGCTTTGACTATATGCATATTCGGGAAGCATCACTTCCGTCAAGTTCCATTTCGGAGCAAAGCCAACCTGCAGAAGGGTACTTCCGTTGATGTGGTAATGGAATGACGTGGAAATGCCCAACTACCAAGGCAGAGGTGCTCATATTGCATCATCACGCAAACCTGCACCCAACAGATTATGCATATTTAAAACTGAGTCCAGACTGGCAGGTGCTTTGACTATATGCACATCTAGGACATCACTGTCATACAATTCCGTTTGGCCAGCAGGGGATAACATGCATCGGGATGCTCTCGTTGAAACGACGGAGACAGAATGATGCAAGAAAATACACCCAACTACTAGCAGCTATGATCACTTCGCATATCACGCAAGAACATAACGAATAGCGTATGCACGTCCGCCACTGAGTCTAGATTGGAGGGTGCTTGACTATGTGGTTATTTGCAATGCAGCAACATGCTTTCTTTCCTCGATATGGAGACGGAAAAACATGGAAAGATGCCAACATTTGAACTGTCAAGGCTGCCATGGCCATGCCATGCCATCGCGGCCCTTTGCCATCTATAAATCCAGCAACCTGCACCTCTTTCTTGATCCTCTTTTCAGCCTCCTCAAAGCCATCCAAGCCTTCGAGCCACCTTGAAAAAGAATACAACCACACCAGACAAGGACCCAACACAGCAAGATGAAGTTCTCCGTCGCTCTCTTCGCCATTGCCAGCTACCTTGCATCTGCCGCACCGACTGGCCCATTTCCTGGTGAGAAAGCCCTCAGCATGCCAAGTCCTTCATTCTCGCTAACAGTAACAAAGATACTTCTGGCCTCAGCAAAAGCGCTTTGCCAGCGGACTCGATCAAGGCTCGTATGAGCGACGATGCTGTCAACTCGGCCGGGGTAAGGAGGCTATCAGCCACACATTCTCGTTTTCATCCAATCAAAGTAATGACAAGATGGCCGTCACTGACACTCTCTGCTTAGCACTCTACGGGTCTGAACCCAGACGTGATTGCGTCTCCCTATTACCTTGTTGACGAGCTTCAAGAGCGCTCTGCGGGCCTGAATCCCGATGTAATTGCGTCTCCCTACTACCTTGTTGACGAGCTTCAAGAGCGGTCCTAGGGTCTGAATCCGGACGCGATTGAGGCGCCTTACTACCTTGTCGGCGAGCTCCAGGAGTAGACAGCCGGGCAGCTCGGTCGTCGACTTGAAGTTACTGCGCCGGACAGGCCTAATTTTTTCCTCAAACCTCAAGTAGCAAACAGAGTATGCTTTCGGAACAAGTACGCCTAATTGCTTAGCTTCTTATAATTCGCTCTGCTCTTACAGGGGAAATCAAGAGTCTCTCATTATGATCCACAAGAAATGTTGCTGTAGTGAGTCAATCAATCAGATTGTGACGTGTCGGGCTGCTGTAACTGGGCCCTTGTTTCTGTGAAATGGCCGCAGGTGAGACGAGTCACCGTGGGACTATCTTTTCCTCGTTCATGTTTAGGTCTACTGAATGATATGTATATTGCACATGAGGACTGTACTGGTCGTCGGCACCAAAGCTACTGATAATAGTAGTAGCACCGCAACCATCACCAAACCCAAGCAGATCATGGTTCTTCTCTTGGCTAATAAAGGTTATTTCGAGAGGCTAGCATATCACCATGTCGGCAACGTAGTCGTGACTTGCAGCCAACACACCAGCGATGCATTTCTTCTGCAGCGGTTTAGTGGCAAGATTCAGCTCTGGTATTCGTAGCCTTCAACATTCAAAGTGTGTGGTTCTGCAGTTCTACTCTGGACACGTAAGGGAGCTCAGGTTGCTGAAATAGCTGCGGAATTTGTGTTTAAATGAGTGTCAAAGATTTACTTCAAGCATGCATGCCAGTTTGTTATGCCGTATAGCAATTTGCAGGGATGTTGAATCCTGTTCTTGCTCACCCACTTCTCTCCATCATTTGCCTAGATAACGAGCCCATCGCTACCAGTATACCTCATGGTCCAATAGCCTGACCACAAAGCAGCCATCAAGAAACCCTTGACTGGGTCCTTAATTCTCAACCGGACGCCTATCCCGATGCCAGACACCTTGCCTGTCGTACGAGATTGCCGCGGAGGTGCCGCCACTCAAGTTTAGAAAAAAGGGATTCGAGACGCTGTCGGAAATCATTGTCGCAGTCTCTAGGTGACTTTGGAACCAAAAAACTACCTTTGGCAGTGGTTGGAGTGTTGCTTTGCCTGGTGCGTAGGGTGTTGGGGAAATAAAGACTACTCGACTGTTAATGCCCGCCCCTGTCTTTTGTCCTCCGTCTTGGCTCACCTGGCACGTATTTCCCACCAATATAAAGCTCAACCGCTGCTGAAGCTGGTATTTGATTTTTAAATCCAAAAGTGGCCGGGGGGAGGGTGGCGTCAGCCTCGGTGTGATACTGGGTCCAACTGTCGAGGATGTAGGTTTGTTTGAAGTCGATATCAAGCATTTGAGTTGTCCCCGTGAATATTTCTGTGCCCAACAGTTAGGTCTTGGTAACCTGGTCATGGGTCTCTTGAGATATCATACGTCCAGGTTCAAAATTCTGGGTCGTGCCACCAATCCGGTACTTGTCTTCCCATGCCGCATTCATAAGCTCAGTCACCGCTTGTCCGCGTTAGTAACTCATAGTAGTGAAATGTGCGGATTGCCGACATACTGTTTGTCGAGGCAACAATGTTGAAGACATCATTACTAGCACCCGCAAACACCTTGGCCATGATCAGTTTAGTACCATTCTTGTTGAAGATATCAACCCAGTAAGGATCTAAGGTAAATTGTTAGAACAACTGTCACTCATTCAAAGGGGTGTTACTATACCAATCTTGATATCGACACTGTATTTGTTAGCGTCAGCCATGACGACAATGGTTTTAGAGACGGTGATGCAGGTAGCGAAGAGCAAGTTTTGTATTTTGAATGGAATCAATGCCGGGCTTGATAGAAAGCTTGGCCAGAAATGGAGGACGATGAGCTCCGTTATATACTTGGGGAGACATACTCCTCTTTGCTACTTGAACACTTTTCGAATCGACACTGCGTACTCTGTAGTGTGATGCGTCCCGTAGTGACATGATGAGCAGCCAAGGCAATGTCCCCCGAATCAACTGACTGATGGGATTGCATTCGTGTGCTTATCGAGGACATGTAGACGATGCCAATCCTCAGCTACCTCTGACTTTCTGTCTTTTACTCGTGCCCATGTTGCGAGAAAAAAAGAAACACATGTGCTGACAAGTGAAATTCTACATGCGGCGCACAGCGGGAATGGCCGACAAGTGTCCAAACCTGTCCCAGAATGCATGCCTGCATGTGTATGTAGCATTGAATTGTGAACCCCTGTAACCGAAATCAGGACATTTGCAAGACGCAACTTCCGCCGAACCACAAATCGAGTTGCTTATCCAAATGCCGAGACCACAGCCAGCCACATTTCTAAAACCTAGTTACGGCTTGTGATGTTTTTTCCATAATGAGCAACCATGTCTTTCATTTTCCTACGTGTTCTTTTATACATTGAGATGTAGGCTGAATGATTTGCCAGTCTTAACTATACACAATAGGGAATATGACTAGTAATGCCGCAGTAAAGACACATCTTGAATTCTCAGCAAATATGGCACCATTATTGAAGCCAAGAAGGAAAGAGTAAAGAGGAAATTTCGTAGCAATCGTCGAGACCTTTACTCGCCTCTGATTGTGGCATTTGCTGTCACAACTCACAAGTGTCAGCCGGTATACGCCGTGTTGCTGTCTCAAGGGGTCACCGTGATGCATGGCTTAGTCCTTGAGACGCCATTCCATTACCAGAGTCTCTATAGTTATATGTCCATGGAAGATGAATATCCCTGAGTCTTTCAATGTGATGCATTTATAGCAAATAATCAGGCAGGGATAAAGATACGCCTTGATAATTTATAGTGCCACCAGGATTAACAGCTAACCAATTTACTTGGACTAGGCGACATCCTCCTATGAAATATATATATATATGGAGGTGTCCAAGATATAGCACGTAGCTATACTGGAGTGTTGCCCTCAACCCAGTACTACATGTTATTCGTTTTCTCAACACTATTCTGTTTCGGCAGGCAGTCATGGGTAGACTTCAGCTTGTATGAGTCAATGCCTCATATTCATGGCGTTTAATCGACGACTCTGCACGGGTGTAGCCGCTGTGTTCCACGCCAGCATCTCTTGTCTCACTTCGTCACAAGTCCTACCGGGTGGTCCCGTACTGTTTATTTTCTGCGCCTATTTTCTATACGGGCAAGGATGACGCAAAGAACAAAGGGATGGCTGGCCGCAGAAAGGCATGACTTTGTTGTAATATCCACCTGGGATTCATCAGGTGGCTACCCCTCACCGCCATCGTATATGCGGCGCCATGACGATTAGAAAGCCTTGCAAATACCGAGACATGTTATATATCACAAGACGAAGTCGAAATTTGCTCCACCTATGAGGGAACTACGTCGCGTGCCAGACGCCGAGATCAAACCAGCCCAACGAACCTGCATGTGATTCCATAGTCATTGTTCCTTGCAATAAATAGAAGTGAACCGGGATCGTGGTCTTGGGCACATGCCGAAACAGGCGTTTCAAATCGGGCATCGGAACTGTGGCTGGCTGAGGTCTCCACATTGGGACAAGCCATCGTGTGAATACAGATTTTGTACTCCGTACGAAATACGGTAGTACAAGACGACAGCAAAAGCTCTACCTTTGCCAAAGTCAAAACGAAACAGCCAGTTTCCCACAGTAGACTAATCCGCGGTCTGCGACGGAGGCGCGCCATCCCCGAACTGACAGCTAAGTCATATGTAGGTTGTAACGTGGCAAAGGGTCTTGAGATGATACAAGAATTCACTTACAACCGCCCAACGCGACGGAACCGGGCATGACCGTGGAGAGCGTGGCCGCGTGGGGACTGTGATATGTTTGTAACCGCCTGCTAAATAATCTCCCGGTCCAGTGCAGGCCAAGGTCCCTGCTTTTCTTCCCAAAGCCTTTGACGGACAGAGGCCAGTTCCCCTTGATTTTGCTATACTGGCGATGAAGGAGTCACGACTCACTACGTCGAGCATGGTAAGCAGCATCAATGAAATCAGAGTCATCAACACACAAGTTGAAAACAAATAAATCATCCCATAAGATGTCCATTTTAGACACCATTGCAACGTCCCTCTTCTCTCCGACTCGACAGTCGCGAGAACAAAGTGAGACCGGTGTGGCGTGAGGGCTCGGCACATGTCTGGCGGGTACGCCACGTCACAATGGACTGGCCACGCCTGGTGGCTGAGCAGAATTCAGCAGGGATCGACCAGATTCATCGATAAATCATCTTGTCTATTTGGTGGCGGAGCAATGGACCAGTTAAAGGCACCTCGGCATCTTCAAGAGGCGGCCGAGTGCATTTCAGCGCAGCCCTGGTTAACGACTCGATGCAGTCCGGGTCTCATCAATTGTCCCACCAAAATACTACTCTACTTTGGTCACAGTCATCTCACGCATCTTGGTCTTCTTTACAGAGGAATAGAACATGTAGTAAATTGCAGATGCTGGGCTGGAGTGGCGGAGCAAATCGCTCTCTCCAGTTGTCTTGTCCCAATGCAACATGCGGATTTCGGGGAGAGAAGGGAGGATGATGCCATACGAAAAAAGAGTGCGGGTTGCCCAACATCTAACAGAGGCAAGAGAGAAGAGATGAGTGGACAGCTGAAGTGGGTGAAGGCCTTGAGTACGTTTTGACTCTGGGTTGTTGATCCAATCTGCTAGGCCATGTGTGAGATGCGTTGCGTGGACTTACAACACGCAACTTTGGACAGTTTCCGCGTGAACGTTACTGCTTATACTACACCAGTTGAATATCTACATGGTAATTATGTGCCAGAAGCTTGGGACTATGGTGCAGCACTGTTCCACGTAGACATGACCATAGAGCAGCACTGAGGTTCTTATACATTGAATGATGAGTTGTGAATCATGGATCGTATGATATGTATCTATATATATGGGTCATGACAGCCCTATAACCAACTGCCTCCAATGTCTACTCAGCACCCTTTGGCCCCTTCCAAGCAATATCCAAGTGATTCTTTACCAAATTCACTATACTACAAACTATTACAGTCTGTCAGACTACGTTCCAAAACCCATCAAGCTCAGTTAGGCCTGGTGGCCTGCGTCTGGAGATTTTTAGCGACAAGATTCAGGAACCAGAGCAAAAGTCCATCCTTGACTCTTTTTTCAACAACGAAATCATGTCTCGAGAAGCCGCAAGCACTCCGCGGCCGGGTGCGAGCCCTATGCACATTACAGAGCACCGTGATGAAGAGCAGAAGATTTGGTGCCAAGTTGATGTACAACGCCAAAACCGGTACTATGGTAAACTGGTTGTCTCGAGCCTGCACTCCGATGGTGGTGAGCTGGTGAGAGCCAACCAGTTTCTCAGCGTTGTGTTTCTGTCACCGACGGATGTTGCGGCAAGGGACTTTTCGTCTTCCACGGCCGTGAAAATCACGCCGCAGATGATCAACGAGCAGATTGACGCCAACACGGTCCGCGTAACCGCACGACTCAAGCTCGAAACAGCATACGAGTTCCAAGACCACGACGCGCTTGAATTTGGCGTCTATGACGACGTGGGCCAAAATCCTGAATTGTACAAGGAGTCGTTCGTGCTGGTAGCCGATCGAACACCCAGCGGGTGCGTTGCCATCCATTGCGAGCCCGCCCCGGACGAGCGCCTCGCAAACTGCATGCAAACGATATGTTTCTGCGAGGGCAAGCGTGTACAGACAGTCTCGGTGCCTCTGGGCCAAGAAACGCAATGCAAGATAGGTGTCGGCTCGTACACCGACGTCAAGGCTCTGAAGCTCACGGCCGCGGATGACACGGCGGTCGGGCAGCCTCAAGCCTCGACTCATACTCTGAGAGTCGAGGACGGTGGAAGGAAACACGTCGACATACGCTACGACCACGTTGAGCACTTCAGTACGATAGATGTGACGGTTGGCAACATCAGGCCCCTGGAGAGGGAAAGATTCCATATTCGAATCCAGAGGAACGGCGCTGAAGTCGCCAGCAACTGGAGCCCGGGCGACCATAAGACTCGGTTCTCGGAACTGCCGCAGGAGGGCGACGTGTCCGTCAGTGTCGATCCGATGACGGTAAACAATGAGGAATTCTCCTTCAAGCCCCGCGATTTGAAGCTGTCCTCTAGGCTGGACACGGCCTCGTTCCCCCAAGCCGATGCTGTAACCGGCATTGACACCACTGGCTTCGTAAGCCTACCTATTGTGGTCAAGACTAGTATTGTGGAATCCGGTCTGACTTTGTTTGTGCGATTGCGCTGCGAGACGTCAACGTTGATCTACACGCAAACAGTTCCGGTCAGGGACGGCCCTGTGCCGCGCGCCGTCAAAGTACGGCCAGGGCAGTATACAGTCGAGGCCCCAAGCTTCGTCCGCAGCGGCATCGTCTACGTCGTCACCGCGGGCGCCTCGCTCACAGTCCTGGATTGTGGCTCGTCCAAGCTGGAGGTGCAGGTGCAGCGCGGCGCCAATCTCAAAGTCCGCGGCTTCCCAGACGTGTTGGGTTTCGGCGGCTACGCCGACCTGGTCGACGGAAACAAGGACGACTTTGTCGAGGCGAAAGCGTCGTCCGTGTTTGCATATGCCGGCCTTGACCACGACGGCGATCCCCTCCGGCGCCTGAC